TTTAGGAAGGGGGTGGTCTGGTCACAAAGCAAACTTCAGGAGAATTAAGAGTCACCACCCTCTGATGGTCTATAATTTACCCTATTAAATATATATCAAACTTGTGATTTCTTCATTTGTGCTTGAAATAGTTTCTTGTTTTTTTTATGTGAGGTGGTCATTGCTAGGGGTGATCATTTCAGCCCGGCCTGGCCTGGCCTGCATATATTTAAGCTTACATATTTTATGTATAATGTAGACATATGTATACAATGTTATTTTACATTATATATTTTATATATAAATATTATAACGTGACATGCATAATTTATATTATATGTAATATTTTATATTATATATAAAATAAAAGTTTATATGCATGTTATGTCATTTAATATAAAATATATAGATATGTAATATTTTATATATAAAACACATTAGCCCGGAATCAAGTCCAAGCCCGTATAGACCTGGGCTAAGGCTTATGTTATAGGCCTGGAACCCGGGCCAGCCCGGGCCCGGGCCTAAACTATAATCCTTATCATAAATGCAAAGCCCGGCCTGGCCTGGCACGTGATCACCCCTAGTCATTGCCCACAATATTCACAAAATGCATAAGTCTGTTCGACATTTTATTGTTCTTTCAAATTTTATAGATTGTCTGTTGTTTCTTCTTTACTCCACCAATGTTTCAAAATTTAAATTTGGTTTTTCAGTTATTCTTTAAATATTACATAACAGTGCCCACGTGGCAAATTACTTCAGTCATAGTCCACCTGATCCAGGACATTAGTTATAGTACTCCAAACCCATCCGGGCATGTTATGTAAAAATGGGCCGAGACCCACTGATTTTTGTTTTTTTTTTTGGTAACCAATCCCATCCACTGATTTCGGAACCGAGATATCTGTTGTGTATGTTTGGCCTATTGAGCTGGGCTAAATGGGCCCTCAGTTGTGGGCTGATAGGGCATGGGATGATTTAGGGCTTGCATTCAGGTTATAGACTTATAGTTATGCCTAAGGGTGTTATTTGGACTGGATTTGGCCCAATCTGATCCAGTCCAATGTGAATCCATTATAAATGGATCAGGTTCAATCCAATTCAATGTTTGGAACGTTCAATCTGTTCAATTTTGTTTTAATTTAGATTGGTTTCAATCCAAACCCAGTCCATTGATACCTATATTTTTATCTTATATCAATGGATCAGATATTGACTTAATCCAACTCAGTCCAATATGAATTTATTATATACGGATTAGGTCCAATCCAATCTAATAAATATTTTGAATCATATTGATCCAATCCAATATATCTTTTTGGTCCGTCCAATCCATCCAAATCGATTTTGGAATGGATGGTGTCCCAATCCAAAATCGATCCATTAACTTGACACCCTAAGTTATGCCAGCCCTAGGCCACTGCAATATTCCTTTTCCCTGTACCGTAGTTCAGTTTCTGACCATACTTTAAACTACCGAACCAGATACTTCCTTCTGGCAAACCTTTAAATTATTTCCCAACATCTCATTAAATTGTGATAACCATTAGAAAAAGAAAAACGAACTAGTGATATAAACTTCTTTTCTTCACCCTTCGTGAATGCAGCTTTACACCACACATCTAGAACATTTTTTTTGCCGGATGACCCACCAAACTGAGACAGTGGTCCAGGTTGTGGCGAAGCCATAGAAGAAAGTAACAGACATGCATCCTTAGCATTGCCAACATTAAATACACACTGCCATTCACTACAAGAAATTCATAGAATTGGTACAACTTCATAAATGAAGCACCTCTCAGAAAAAATTAGCTACCAATCAGAACAGCTTGAGACCTGCCTAAAAAGTTGTGGGTTTCAACAAAACAAGGACATTTCACAAAAGATCACCTTCACCATAAAAAGTTAGACCTATTTATTACCTCATTTTTCCTGCTACTAATTTGTTTTATAATACAAATATACATATTTATTGCATAGTTCTGTTTGTACAAAAAAAATTCTCTTTTTTTTTTCTACTATACAAATTTTGAAAACAAGAAAATGCAAAGAAACATGTATATCTTCAAGGAAAAAAAAGGTAGGGAAAAAGAAGGAAAAGGTAGAAAAACCTATACAAATACAGCCTTAGGTTTCTCTTCCTTGCTATTCCTTTTCTTACTTTTTCTTTCAAACCAAATATAGCCTTAGCAGGTTTTTTATTTCCATTTTCATCCAAAATAGTCAATCTTTCTATTATTTGTCACCTTATTTTGGAGTTTGAAGTGTAATCTCTTACTTGCCTCAATGTTGGATAGACCCCACAAGAGTTCACCTTCAACATGCCCCACTTGGATTGAAATAGAAAGCATATATTTTCTGAAATTCAATAGACTAGATTTTAAAAATCCCATTCTCAGATCCAAACAAGAAAAATGGCCATGAAATTTAGATCTTTCTTTCAGAAACCATTGCCATATATATTAAATGTGTATGTTTTTATTTTGGGAAAATTCTTGATCAGTATTTTGTACTTTGGTTTGAGTGACAATTTGATCCCCAAACTTTAAAATGCAACAATTCAATACCTAAACTTTCAAAATATGACAATCCAGTACCTGTTGTTAACCAGTTCGTTAATCACCCGTTAAGTGACATTTGAAAAGTCAAAAATGCCCTAAAAATGTCATCTAATTCTCTTTATCAACCATCCAAACATTGGCAATAAAATGAACAGTCCCAAATTCTAGATTCTTCTTAACAATCACCAACTTTTTTTGAATAAAAGATGATAGGATTTGGGACTGTTTAGTTTTTTGTCAATGTTTGGATGGTTGATAAAGAGAATTATATGGCATTTTTGACTTTTCAAATGTCACTTAACGACTGATTAACAATAGGTACTGAATTGTCACATTTTGAAAGTTCAAGTACTGAATTGTCGCATTTTAAAATTCAAGGACCAAATTTATTATAACAAATGTCCAACAGTCCAAGGGCAAGGAAGAGTTACTAGATTGAAATGGTCCATATGGAGAAATGGTATCAAGGAGAAATGAACATACCCAATTTGGGGCATTCATTATAACAAATAAAATCATATATAGTCAAAATTTAAAGCCAAATTTATTAGTTATCATAAATGAAATTTTCTTCCATTTATAATCGTTATCATAAATGAAATTTATTAGTTATCATACATTTCATGCATTGAATATGAACTACCATTGATTGTTCAGCCCACTAACCATTAGGAATGGAGTAACAGAAACGATGGAGGAATGAATGTATAGGTGGTGGAGGAATGAATGATATATATATCTGCTGAACATTGGATAAATGAGTTGAACTCATCTTCATTTTTTTTTGAATAGCTAACTTTCCAGCTAAGCAAAGGAAATCAATCATATGTTCATATGGCTCAGTTTGTTTGTAGTGGAAATTTCATTTGCTATATGTAAATGCATGAGAGTACAATGCGCTGAGTGTAAACTCTGGTTTACTTTTGCTTCATATTTGACTTTTTTTTTTTTTGGTAAATGATAATCATTCGTAAGGTTTAATTTGGAAAGAGTATAAATATAAACATGTACAGTATAAATACATACAAAATAATGCAAAATGCAAGGTTTTACACTGTACATATTTGTATTTGTACTCCTTCCAAACTAAGCCTAAAAGTAAAATAGGAAGTAAATTTAAATGTTCCCCACCTTAAATGGAAGAAGATGGATCAAAAGTGCAAAGTTTGATCAATTAAGAGTACAAATCATTGTTACAAACAAATGGATGCAAAAATGGACCAGGTGTACACTTTATATCCGGTTCAGATTTGCACTGCAACCAAACAGAGCCTATATAAAACATCTCAGGTGGCATATACACTTGGCTAACCATATGCATGTAATTTTATATTTTAAGAAGAGAATATGTTTACCAAAAAGGAAGAGAACTCTTGTAATCTAGTAGATTCTTTTAAGTATAAAATTTGTGATACCAATAAGATGGTTGTAAGACAATTCTTTAATTATTTAGAAATAAACATATATTTTAGTATTTAGCCAATACATAGAAATGTTCCTAAATTGAATTTGAAATACTGGGAGTTTCTACTTCATACTCTATAAAAGATGAATGATAAAAGCGACTTATTGTTCAATCTAGAGCTCAATCCTCAACTCCATCCTCCATCATGGCGCTTCAAATGGATTGGATCAAATTATATAGATATATCCAAATCTGATCCATTTATATTTAAATTTGTATAGATCAGATTTATATTGAATTTGAATTGAAATAAGATATTAAATAGTATAAATAAATAAATTGATCCAATTATAAACGATGGAATTAAGATCACCCTTAATGGAACAGAATTCAGATTCCAATTTGGACAATGGGATACCGTTTGCAGCCCTACTCCATTCTTGCTAATATATAAGTTCAAAAAAATCATTTCTCTCTGTTTCGTTTTCATTCAACACCAAAGAAAATACCCAATTACATAAGTTTCTAACTTGTCTCATTACCCACACTAGTAACCCCCTAAGATGCCAAAACCCATTCTGCTTTTATTGTATTAAATTCTCCTCAACTTGATCAAGAAGCTTAGCAGGCAGGTTGACGCAATACTGTATATAAATTCAAAGAAAACATAGAATCAGAGATAAGGTCTCTTTCAAATCTCCGCTAGTAGCTTTCCATGCGGCTTTTATTTCTCATATTTCAACAGTTTTGTCAAGATCCCGCCCTTTCTTTCAATCCCGAAAACAAGACACATCACAGACCGACAAATTTACAGATCCCTACTCAAAAGAAAACGCTCCCAACACTGTCCCAAATGGAAAAGATGACAGGATGTTTCCAATATGCGGCTGCATTGGTTCGTGGGGATATGTTGGGAGCCTAGCAGATCTGATCTGAATTCCTCAATTTTAAAGTTCAAACTCCCAAACCGCCCCCTTGCCTCTTTAATAAATTTTTCAAAACCCGAGAGACCCACCAGCCACTCACTCTTCTCTGTCCTCTCTCTTATATAAACCCCATCACAACCCACGCACCGGTCTTTGCTCACAAAAGCAAGCAGAATAAAGAAATAGACGAGCCAGAGACAGGAGGGGCTTTCAGGGACCCGATTACAGATTGGCAAGGGAGAATCAATCCCACCACCACCTCCTCCAACCACCGTCAGCATCTCGCTTGCAGTCACCAACACCCCCATTAGAGCCAACCAGTCTAATCATCATGCCCTCGGGTCCAAAAAAGAGGAAAGCAGCCAAGAAAAAGAAGAAGGAACGGGCAGCCAACACCCAGTCTACAACTAGCTCTCAAGGTACTTACTTATCACTACCACCCCTCACCCTTGATCATCACCCACCACTCTCTTGCTGGCTTTCTTTATTTCTTTGATTTGTTCCTTCTATTTCTCTATTGGGTGTCTGCTGAAATGTTTGATAATATTTATTACTCCTTTCATCTCAATGAGTTGTACATTTTCTGCTAGGAAATGGTGATCTGAAAACCCATTATGAGAAGGAAAGTGATAGTGGTGATGTGAGTTCTCCTACATCACAAGACCACCATCATCCGTTGGAGGAAGAGGAAGAGGAGGAGAAGAAGGATTCTGCTGCTGCTGCTGTTGGTGGGTCTGTTATGGCCGATACCAAATCGATAGAGGGGCCCCTAAATGGTGGGAGTAGTGAAGGGGAGAGTAAACAGAAGGTAGAAGTAGAGGAGGTTGTTGAGGTTGTTAGGGAATTCAAACCTGATGAGGGTTCTGAGGGAAGCAGTGTTTTTATCGAACATGTTGAGTATGCGAAGAATTCCCGTGATGATGGATCGTCTGGGGATGCTGGGAGTTCCAGTAGTAGTTCTGATGATGAGTCTGGGAACGCTCATGTGGTCGGGGAGGGTGCTTCGGTAGCAGAGTCGGGAAAATTGGAAGAGGAGAAGGGTTCGATTAGGGAGACTGTGCTTATTATTGAATCGGTTCAGACGGCAGATGCTTTGTCTGAAGAGGTGAGTCAAGTGGTTGAGGCCACCGAGGTTGAGGAGACTGAGGCTACACAGGTAATTGTTTCGGAATTGAAGGTAAAAGAGGAGGAGCCGCCTTTGCCTTCTTCGGACAGGACTAGTGGGGTTTCGGGTGTGATTGATTTGGGATTGAAGGAAAATGAGAGTAATGTTTTGCGGTCACCAGATTCTCCACCTGTGGAATCTAGTAATGTTGTTTTTTCTGGCGAACATCATAATGAACCTGAGGTTCCTGAAAGCTTAGAAAATCAGGTCTGTAAATTATTACTATGGAATGAGAATCTGCTGGTTTTGGTTATTATATGTGTTTATCACTTTTTTTGTATATTAATCACATACTGAACAATTGATTGTTCTTGTTCATATCTTTTCCAGCAGCAGCAAGAGGTACACCCAGCTCCGCCAACAGTACGGCCAACTTCATGGAAGTGTTGCTGTGGCTTATTTGAGGTTCTGATGGTCTCCAGCAGATGATTGTAGGTGAAGAAACTATACTGGAAATACTTTCCTTCTTCTTGTTGGAACTAAGATCTCTCCAATTTGTTTTGTCAGATATTTTTTTTTTGGGGTGACGATTTTTGTTTAGGGTGGAACTATAATGTGGTTATGGTATTGTTGTTTCAATTTTCCTTGGTTGTCTATGTTTGACTGAAGACTTTAATATCCAATCTGTATGAATTACACGGTATGTAAGTGGAGGGAGTTCACTATTATTATGAAACATTGATTCCACTTAAAAGAATAGAAATATGATGTGGAAAATACATATTCATGACTCAGATAAGTTGTCTAATTAGCTTAATTAGCATATTTTACGTGCTTCTTGAGGCTCTAGTATCAAAGGATAGCAAATATTGTGTTTTTATTTCAATTACATGTAATTTCTTGTAAGATTCTAGCTTCATCTCTTGGATTCTTTAGCTGAAGGGTCTTACAAGACTTGCATGAGTTTGTATCCTTATTGACTAGTTGACTTTGTCAATGTTTAGTCATCCTAGGTGCATCATAAGCATTGGCCGGCTAGTTAGTGATGCACTTGGTATGGCCCTCAAATGACATGGTCACTTGGTTGGTGAATGCTTTGACAACACTGGTTGGGCTAATGTGCTGCTTCACTAGTGAAAGTTTTTTTGTTCTATTATCGCTATTATACTAATTGTTTGTTGTTTGGGTTTGCTTCTTTGAGTTTTGGCTTGGCCCCCTCTTATTGGACCTCCAATCTTTCTTGTATTACTTCCTTTGGCAAGTATTAGACATCCCCAAAGGTCAAATGCACCAATAGGAACTAGTTCTTGTGAGAATGATTATGGCAGTGCATGTGTTTGTGTCTTTCATGTGTTGGACTGTCCATATTAGATCAAGAATATTTTGTTGTTGTATGGATTGCCAGTTTATCAGTATAAATTTAAAGGTCACCAGGGGAGCAACTTTGTAAAGCCCCTTCTACTTTCTCTTCATTGATCTATCCTCTTTTTCTCTTACTCCTTGTTTTTTTGTTATTAGGAACAATTATCATAGTGTTATTGAGCCTATATCTAAAACACAAAGGTAGGAAATTTAGCGATTCATGTATTTCATTATATTTTATTTTTAAATAATTCTTTTGGTCATACCATACACCAGACAAGAGAGTTGATAAGGAAATTGAAGTTTCTAATCTATCTTGAACAAATATTCCAAAGTGATTGTAGTTAGTATAAAGTGAAGTAACCTATGTTAAAATCTCTTTTCCCTTGGATCAATATTCATGCTTATGGAGTTGATATTTAGGGTTATTAAAAAGTTCAAGTGTTTCTGATGATATGCTTTGATCTATTCATACTTTTGGGATAAGAAAGGATTATAAATATCGGTATTTGGGGGATAATTGCTTATGAGGTATTTTTTGTGGACAGTTCGTAAAAGTAAATAAGTTGCATATATGCTTACTATTATTATTGTTACATTCATTGCATCATGTGCTTGTTTGGTTGCATAGCAAAAGCACCATATAGGCTATAATTCATGTAACCAATAAAGTGATATGTCCATGGGAGGTAGTCAAAATGACCACCTGGGATTTATGACCTCTATTTTGAACAAGATGGAAGTGTTGTCTCTCAACCAAGGATTAAAATATCAATAATGGGTATTGGGCATATTGATATCACCAATACTCTTTTTTTAAAACTTTTTTTTAAATCTTATAAGCATTAAAGAGTTATGGCTCACATATCTAAACTTAAAATTTATAAATGGCTTTTGTATCAATGTGTCCAAGCATATATGGGTACACCAACGCGGATACGATACACCCTAATATGAACATATCATATTGATATTTTAATCCTTGATGTCAACATGATAAGATTATGTACAAGAATTTTTTATTGCCTCTGATTTGGTATTTGCTGGTCCCTTGTACTTGCAGAGTGAATTTTGAACTTGTCATGAAAAACCAATGGGAAGGAGAATAAATAATTTTCCAATGGCAACATGTAGGACCCTCCAAAAGTGAGTGATCATAATCCTACAGTGCAAGTTGGTCCAGGTTAGACTGGGTTTGGTCAGTCAACCCTAATCTAACCCGAGCTGGTGAGCCCCCAATCCTAATCCTAACCCAACCCAAAGCTTTTGGGTTGGCCCTACTTCTCTCCTTTCTCTTGCCACATGTTCACTTTTCCTAGCCTCAAGGGTTGAGGTCAAGTTATTGTATATAAAAAGACATAATTATCATGGCTTAACAAAATTTTGCCTTTGAACTTAAAATTATTGGCATACATATACATATCCGTACACATGTATAGATAGATAGATAAATAGATATATGTCTACATACATTACATACATTTACATGCGTGCATACATATAGTTGCAGACTTGCATATTTACATGCATGCACGCATACATATATACATAATTACTTACATGTATAAGTGTTTATGCAACATTTATACGTACAAACATGAAGTTAGGTTGGGTTCAGGTTGGTCATGGCCTCAACCCTAACCCAACCCAAAGTTAAGTTGGGTTCATATTTCCCAACCCTAACCCTAACCCAAACTTGAAACTGGCCACACCCAACCCGACTTTTTTGGTCAGGTTGCAGCCCTGTCCTTCCATAAAATCTATAACTTTGAAATAAGACATTTGGTGTTATATTCTAGATGTAATACAATGGGAAGAATTTTGTTTTCTTACACTGAAAAATCAATGCAATTCTTTCCTAATAGTCTCATTTGGTGATCCTGGAAAGGGTTTCAAACTCCTGTGGATAATGTGCAATCCTTAAAGAAACTTCTTGGGAGGTGAAGGGTGGGCTGGTTTAGGGATGTCTTTCAAGATTCAGAAGGTAAGGTACTAGCACTATATTTGGGCCCTGTAGAGCAAGGAGGAGCTGCTGGCTTTGCTTCAAGGGCTGAAATTTGCAAAGTAGTTTGGGTTCCAGCTACTGGAAGTGGAAGGGGACACCCGGTTGGTTATTTTCTGGACAAATTTTCATAGCCAAACTCTTTGGATTTACAGACACAAAATCCAGGAAATTAATGCTTCGCAAGGGAATTAAATATTACCTTTAAATGGGTGAGAAGAACTGCAAAACAAGGGGCAAATAGGCAGCAGATATTTTGGGCTAAAGTGTAATGTTTGTTTTGGGGTTTGTGTGCTAGCTTTATTTTGATAATCACTTGGAAGTGGGTAATATACCCACTGCAATGTAACATTTAGTTTTAATATTTTCTTAATAAATTCTACCTTTGCAGATAAAAAAAATGTGATTCTTAAAGAGTGTAAAACCTCTTGGAAAAGATGGTCCATTAAGGGGTGTTAAATGTCTTGGTTTGGGTGTTAACCTTTTTTTTACGAGTATTTGGGTCTTAACCAGTTCCAAACAAAAGTAAATACAATCCAACAATGGCAGTACACTTTGAAAAATACCACTTTCAGAAATGTTTGAAAATATTGAGATGAAATGGTTGTATCACCGACAAATCAAAAAACTTTATTGAGGATCTATTTGGCCTTGGTTTAGAAGGAAAGTCTGTTGGACATGGATTATTTTATTTTTGTTTGGATCAGTAAAAGAACATGTTTGCAGAAGGAAAGCTGATAGTTTTTTTTTTTTTTTTCTTTTAAATTTGTTCTGGGAAAAGATAACTAGAGCTTACATTAATGTGTAAGAAGAAAAATGTGTACATGGGGGGATGTTCTTTGATGCACAATATGTGTAATGCCCATTCCCAAACCCCAAGACAAACACAAGCACACACAAGAAAATAGGTAAATCGGTGAAAAGTTGTCACTATGCAAAGAGGTCCTTGTCACCCAGATCTAGCAAGCCATATGCCATTTATTTCCACAGGGACTGACTTATTTGTGTAGACATGGATGCCAGGATTTCTCTGGTTTCATTAAGATAATGAGTTAGGTACTATACCCCCATTTTTATGTCTTGACTGGATTAATCCTGTCCAATTACTAAAGAAGCTAGTCTTGATCTTTTGGCTATCCTTGGGTTTGTTTAGAGGGCCAGATTAGGGATGATATTATAATAATTATATATAATACTTTATATTAAATGACATATAACATCCATATAAACTTATTTTATTACATTATATAATATAAATTATACATGTCATTATAATAATTATAGTTTTATAATAAAATATATAATATAATATAAAATAACATGTGTACATATATATACATTATACATAAAACGTGTGTTTAAATATAAACAGGTCAGGCCGGGCCTGAACACAAAACCTAGGCCCAAGTCCGGAATTTCTGCATTGGGCTGGGCCGGGCTGAAATGATCACCTCTAGGCCAGATCCTTGGCTTTAGTGAAGTCCCATCATCAATAGGTCCAGTGAGTGTCTGATGCATACTACTATGGGCTTTAGGGATGCCTTATTGGTGCCCTTTACAAGGGAGCTCCTATTCAACTGATGATTTACCCTTCTCCAGAGTGGGAGGAAGGAGTTCGATTGGGATTTGGGAGGGGTTCTGTGGAGGATTGTAGGAGTTTTTGCAGATTTTCTTCTTAGATCATGAGGACAAACCAAGAAAATCTTGAAAACTAAGATCCATGGGATGGTATGTGATTGTTCAAGACTCTAAGCCCTCATGTGAAGCCTGCATGAATGATGGGTATTGATAATCGTTACTTTTGATGCCTAGGCTATGTCTTTCCATTATTGGAGGATGTAGCGTTGCCAGAAGCCACCCATACTGAGCGAACCAAGCCCAGAAAGAAACACAACTTCCTATTATTTGTGAAATATAGAAAAAAGATGTGCCACTGACAATGTCATGAAGACATGTTATGCCATGAATGGGAGAAGATATATAATTGTCTAAGCTTCTTCCTTTGAAGGTTATTGCTTGCATTGCAGAATTGTGAAGAAAACTAGGATGCCATTGCCAATAACAGACATATAGTTGATGAATTGCTGACTGCATGATTCACCAGTAAACAACACAAACATAATAGATGAAGAACATTAACAGGCACACTCTTCAAAAGTTACACAATCAGATATGTTGATGAATTGTTGACTGCATATAGTTGGGATAAGGCTTATGTGAAACCAGAGGAAGGAGAGGAGATATGGTTGAATGGTGGTTACTCAAAAATAGATTAGAGAAACTAGAAGAAAGGGCTGTTTATGTTCAAAGTCACCAATCAATCCAAGGAAAGAAATTGCACTGCCATGGCAAACATTACTACTTGAAGAGAGCAAACATTACCATGGCAAACATTACTTCTTGAAGAGAGCAAACACTGCTGTGGTTCTCAAAGAGAGCAAATGGTGTTCTGTTTTTGTGGATGGTGTGGTGACTAGGTTGGAGGCGGAAGAAAAGGGGAGTCAGTTGCTGGGGGGTGGGGGGGGGGCGGGGTTCGACAAAGCAAGACCATTCTAAATGGTTCTTTGTTTGTCAGGGTGGAGGAGAAAGGAGGAAGGGCGAGAATTGAGAGTTTGGTAGATGGGGATGTTAGAGTTGGAAAGAGTTTGGTAGCATATACATACTAGAGGGGAGAAATTCCGGCCAAATAAAAGATTGCTAGGAGGATTAAAAAGAAACAAAGCAGAATATCCTTCCTAAACTGAAAAGGGGATGAAAAAAAAAATTGTACCTACCATGGGACAAGTGGTCTGAATTACAACCAGCAAAGGCCTACAAACTGAAAAAATAGCAATGGCCTGCAAACCCAATGCCCAAATTTTGAAGGTAGTCTCATTTTTCCCAGTAATGGATTCCACCCAAGCAGATTCCTTGTGAACTCTTTCTGCACAGACCAACAAAGTGCAACCCACAATTGGTTCAGCCCTAATACTGAAACCTTTCATTGACCAAGACATTATCAGCATAGGAAGATTGCTAGGTGGGGTTCTTTTGCTTCTCCAATTAAATGTAAGATATGAACTAATTGCAACTATGGTTATGCAATGAGATGCCACGATAAATTTATTCATTACTAGTTGCTTTCTCAAATATTTTGGATAATGAAATTTGTTGCATCTCTACGCTTGATGATACTTGATGATGGCAACTTTCCACTGTTTTTTCGATAAAAGACATTTGTTTTATTGGGTGCAGATACAGGGCATGGTGAGGAGTTGAGGTGGGCAGAAAAGTGCAGTCGACTACTGAAATTGGGGTTTATAAGTTTGAGAAGTTTTAAGTGAGTTATTAGGTTGTGATTATATCATGTTCAAGATTGTCTTATGAGGAATAATGGACAAGGGAGCTGACTACAAGTATTGTGATAGGAATAGTTTTGCGGTTGATAAGCAGCTCGAACTTGCTAGAGTTTGCAGAGTGACTTTCTATTGGGTTTAGTGATGGATAATGTTCCTTGTGGGTATTTATTTATTTTTTTTGTTTTTAATTGAGGAAGATGATCCCTTGTTATTTGTTAATTACGGTGGTCCTGTAATTTGAAGTTCCCCACATCCCTATCATGACATATGGTTGCATTTGCACATTCTTTGATCGGATAAATGCTCATGGATTTACAGTTCTGAATGGTGAAAGACATCTGCTTTAGAATTATTTTTCCTGCATCAGGAAAGGAGAATGTTAGCCTTTTATTCTTGGTGCCTTTCTTGTAGTTGCTTTTGTTTCCATTTTAGTATTTAGAATTGGAAGGGAATATTTTTGCTTAAACAGTGACTGATGTCGCAGCATCTTCCAATCTTCCCAATGAGAAAAGGAGCAATGTTAAGCCGACGCCTTGGCTGTTTAGCGGTCTGTGGAATCAATGATAAGTTCCATGACAATGATAAAATACATGGGCCCTACCTTTCACAGTGAGGCCTATGAATTTATTACTGGCGTGTGGCGTGTGGCGTGTGGAACATCATTGGTCCCACAGCTTGCTGAACAGCCAAAGCTTTCAGCTAATCCGAAATCTGAGAGTAGAGTGGTTTTGGTACCCCATGTCAAATAACTGGGATTTTCTTGAAATGGGATTCAGTCAGTGCAAAGCTCGTTCAAACAATCATCATAGCCTTGTATTGGGAATATCTCCCCATGAAATAAAGCATAGAAGTACGGAGATATTCTTAATGCAAGGCTGTAAAAGCTGTTTGAACAGTGTTCAAACAAGCCTTGCACTGATTGAAGCCGATCTCGATTTCCTTTATCCTTTGGAGCTTTGCTATTGATGGAATACAGGATGAATGCCAAAGAGAGATGGACATACTTCTGTTTGTGAATCATTCACCATTAGGGTTGTCAATGGACCGGATTTGGATTGGACTGCATTTGATCTATACTCAATTCAAATGGACTGGACGGTCCAATGAGACATAATGGAGTGGCTTGGTCCAAACTTAAAGAGGTCCATGCCTGTATCTAGGGGTGGATTCGAGCCGAGCCGAGCTAAATACTACCACGCTTGAGCTCAGCTCGAGACTGTTCTACAAGGTTCGAGCTAGAACCTTCGATTTTGAGAAAAAATATTTTATAAAAATAAATATTATATATAAAGATATTTTTTATTTAATATTTTAAAAATTAAGAATTATAATAATTAATAATTATAATGTTTTTATCTATCTATCTATCTATCTATCTATCTATATATATATATATATATATTCGAGCCGGCTCGTGAGCCTTACGAGCCAAGCACTAGTAGGCTCGAGTTCGACTCGTTTAAACTTGTATCGGAGTGGACATAAACCAATTGTCCAACAATATCTCCGATGGACAGACTGTTCAACCAAAGCCAATCCAGGATTTTGGTAAAACACGTCTACATTCTGGAATTTCCAACGGCAAAACCAAAGTCTATTGGATCAGATAGGATGACAATTTTTTCTATATTTTTTTCTCTGTTTTCCTTCAAGCCTTATGTTTGGTTTTAAGGAAAAGGTAGGGAAACCTATACAAGGTTTGTAAAGGTTTCCCTACTTTTTCCTTCAAACCAAACACAACTTATGTGAAAATAGCTTAGTTTGGCTCTATCATATTTTCTATTTTTTTCGAAAGACATCATCTTTTCTCTTCTAATTTGTGTCTTTGTTATGTTACTGTTTTTCATATTTAATAGAGAACGTTTTTTATGGATTGATCTAGTGATTCCAAATAAGTGTGTCAATTGGGCTGAATTTGGTCCAGTCTGATCCAATATGAGTAGGGATGCAAATAGATCAAATTATATTCGAATCAGGGTATATCCGAATTCGATCTGATATCATATATCCGAGATTTGATCCTATCCAAAGATCTGATCTATATTATGAAAAAAATAATAAATTAATAAAATAAAAAAGCATAAAAAATTATACAAAGAAAAACAAAAAATATAAGTACTTTTTTCAACTATTTTCATCATATATATTAATATATACATGTCTTTTTATAAAAAATTACAAAAAATGTAATATTAATATATTTATTAATAATAAATATATTAATATATGCACGTCTTTTTATAAGTAAATATGTTTATAAACATATACATATATAGGTTGGATTTGATTGGATAGGGATGATCCAAATCCGATATGAAAATTTGACAGAGGGTTATCTGAATCCGACAAAATGGGATAAAATATGATCAGATTCAGATCAGTTCGGATCATGATCCGATCCAATTGTACCCCTAAATATGAGTCTGCTATAGATGGACCAGATCCATTCTAATTCAATGAATACTTTTGACCATTTTGGACCAAATCAAATTTAATTTCTAGACAGTCCAATGTGTTCAAATTGGTTTTAATTTATATTGGTTCCAAGTTTTCCGACCCAAACCCAATCCATTAACACTTGTGTTCTTATATTCTATTAATGGATTGAATATTTATTGGTTCAATCCAATCCAATATAAATCCATTATGGATGAACCAAGTCCAATCCAATCCAATAAATACTTTGGACCATTAAGTCTGGACTAATCCAATTTAGTGTCTTATCGGTCCATGCAAATTAATTTTGATTTGGACAGGTCCAACCCAAAATTGATCCATTGACACCCATAGTTCCAAGAAATCAAATTGAACCACACCTCATTCCATTTGAAATATAGTTTCTTTTATTTTAGCGGGGGTTTTTATTTTAGCCCATGGTTCCAATAAAAACTAAGTGGACTTTATGTGGTTTATTTATGTGGTTCATACTTTCATTCAATTTGGATTAGATTGGACCCCATCCGATCCACTTGCATTTCAGTTGAATTGGTTTGGATCTGGACCGGATTGGGTCCAGTCCATTTATAAATGGACCCATGTTGGACTGGATTGGATTGGACCAAATCCAGTCCAATTGACACCCACATTCACCACATATTTGTAAGGTTCAAAATGCATATCAGCCTGTATCGAAGCTTACCTTAATTATTATTTTTTTGGGGCAAATTTTTTAAACTGCCCTTTATTGCTTAGCTAATTGATAAATTGTACCCTTACTGTTTAATTATTGTCTTGCACCACCCCTATTGTTCCTAACAATTGTTATATCGTTAAATTCTAATAGAAAGGATGGAAAGTCACTTTCACCCTCCGGTTAAGTCTCATCCATCTGCATACAATCAGTCATAAATTTCCAACATAAAGGTACAATCTTGACTGGCACAACTAGGCCGCTACCTCCCAAATGGTCAACTAGCTTTGATTCATCGATAATAACAATGAACTTCCAGCAAGTTTCCTCGGTCACCTTCTCCCTAAGCAAAGACCCACCTCGGCCTTTGACAAAATTGAGATGTGGATCGACCTCATTGGCTCCATCAATTGCAAGATCAAGAACTGGATGCTCATTGAGGTCAGAGAGAGGAATCCCCAATGAAACCGTTTGCTCTTCGATTTTCTTTGAGGTGGGTATCCCAATAATATTCTTGAGAGAACTGCATCTGCTCCAGTCGAAGTGGTGGAACGCCCCCCTGAGTCAAAGGGGGAGCTTCTTGGTCTCCAAAAGATACCTGCAACGGGATAAAGCTAGTGCTTAGGTCCTCTTCCTGGAAGCAAGCAAATACTTCTTTCTCTTGAAGTGCAGTCCAATTTTTTATGGCAGGCACTCCAGGTACAACTATTTTCCCTTGCCATTCCATTTTTGGATGACAAGCACTCCAGTTACACTATTTCATGGTCGCAAACGATTCATTGAGTTGGATCCTCATCAAACCACTCTAAAAGAAGCGATTTTTCTCCTTTCAGGTCTTTTACGATGATATTGATTACCCTTTATGGTGGAGATGAGGCATCTGGGGTTGCAGAAGCAACAGACCCATGCCCATAATCGGAATGAAACAGGATTAGTCAAGGGGAAGTTTGGGACAAAACCAGAGTTGGATCTGCGGCAAAGTCGAGCCTCCAAAGGTATGGTGGCTTGTGTTGTGTTGTCATTTTGGTCCTTTTGTGGAAGATCATCAATTTGGTTCACGACAAACCACGCAGCCCCAAAGCGAATTCAAAGTTACTAAATTCAAATGCCTTCTCCAAACCACGCCTGGCTTATTCAAATGCCTTCTCCCTATCTCAAGACGACTATACTCAATGAGCTTCTAGGAAGATTTTACAAGTGTAGAGTCCATTTTAACCTGGGTTGGCGTCAATGTTAGAAGAGGTAGAGATGGATACGGAGATGAAAATGAAAACGGAGACAGAGACAAAGATAGAGGTGGAACTCGATTTGCAAGGAGGAGGAGGAGGAGGAGGAGAGGGAAAGGGAGAGGGAGAGGGAGATGGGTGAAGGGTAATATTGGGTTTTAAAAAATAATTATACGTCACGGGTGTACGAATTTTGACGGAACATTAACGGATGCTAATGGCAGTGGTAGAGTTTGTCAATTGTTAGAAACAATAGGGGTGGTTTAAGACAATAGTTAAACAGTAACGGTATTGTTTGTCAATTAGCTAAACAGTAGGGGTAGTTTAAGAAATTTGTCCCTTTTTTTTCTCAAACTGGTTCAGAGGGGTTAGTTTAAGGTGGCGTTTGATAAATTTGAAATCTAAAGCCTGAAAAGTAAAAACAGATATTAAAAATGTTTGAAATCTAAAAAGAGGCATAGATGCATTTCTACTTTTTAGAGGATATGAATAGATAATGTTGTTTGTATTGGATCAATTATACATCTAAAATTGCTTTGTTTTACTATTTTACCCCTGGAATAGGCTATTTTGTAATTGTGAATGCAGTTAGCACTATTTCATATAAAATAACTTATCATATTCCAAATAATATCAAAATTATACAAAAAATAATAAAAATAATTATTCACTAATAAAAAAGTAAAATGATTAAAATTTAATAAAAATTTAAAAAATCAATAAAATTTAATAAGTAAATAATTATTTAATTAATAATAATATTGAAACAACACAAATAAAAATAATAAAATAAATAATAATTGATAATAATTACTAAAAATAATTAATAATTATAAATAGCACAATAACAATTAATAAAAATAATTATTCACTAATAAAAAATAATTAATGTTTAATAAAAATTATTAAGATAATTAATAATTAATAATTAGTAAAAAAATTAATAATTATTATTATTAATACTCAACCGTTGCCACAGCAAGGTGGTGGGAAGACAAGAGAGAAAGAGAGAGAGAGAGGTCGAATGGATTCACGAGAGAGTGAAAACACGAGCAGCATTATTCATTCCCGTCCTTAAGAGCAAAAACACGAATGACTAGGTTTTTTTGGGTTGGGTTAAACAGGGGTAGCGCGCGTCATTTGTAAAAGATTGGAAGGGTAATTTTGACAATGCACTAGCTCTGAAATGCGTCTGAGCGCATTAAGGACCGGCCCACGCGCTATGTTTTCAAATCTTGAAACAAATTTCAGATCAGTTTTAAAAGGAGACACCAAATGTGTCTGAGGTTTGAAAAGCAACATTTTCAAACCTCAAACATCTTAAAAGTGCAATCAAACGCCACCTAAGGCCCATCTACCCTCTAAAATAGATGGGACCTCAAAACACCATATATAGGGGTGTATGGAGGGGCCCCGACATAATATGTTTCGGCTGATATACCCCAATTCGTGGGTAGGAAATCCGAACTCTTATCAAATGTACAGTTTTACCTCAATTCACGGTGCACTTTAATACTAATCAAATGGTTACATAACTGAATCAGGATATAGCACCAACCTTAGGGGTGCAAATGGATCGTATCATGATTCAATTTTATCCGAGATCTGATCCTATTTGGTCGAATCTGAATCACCCCCTATTCGATCTGAAAAGATCCGATTCAATATATATTATATAGTTATAAATATATATATTTTATTTATTTATTTATAAATATATTTTTTATATTATATTTTTATAAATTTGTTATTATATCATCTATTTTTTATAAAAAAACATGTATATATATGATAGAAATAATTAAGAAATACTTGTATTTTTTGTTTTTACTTTATTCAAATTAATATATTTTAATTTTTTTAATAATTTATTAATTTTTAAACAAAATAAGTCGAATTGGATCAGATTCAAAGATCCAATTTACCAATAGGTTTTCGAATTCAAATCAAATCATATCAGATTTGATTGGATGTTCGAATCGGATCGGAGTCAAAGAAAAAAGGTATGGAAAGGAAGAAAAAGGTAGGCGTAAGGCCGGTGGATGTGGTGGTTTGTACTCTGAAGTTTGAAAAATTAGTTCTTTCAGGAGAAAACAGCCGGAATATACCCTTCGGCGAGGGATTAGGCCATTTGTAGTTTGTCGGAATTGGAATTGTAGGAATGGAGAAAGATGGTAGACAGTACTGCATGGGAGGAGAGTGAGTGAAATGGAAGAAGAGAGAGGAGAGCAATGGCGGTTCAGGGGTGGAGAATGAGGTCCCAAAAGTCCTTTTAACTCACATGTTAATTTGCTGCTGCTGTATTGAAATATTTAGCACTCAAGACTTTGATTAATAACAAAGTGGATTGATCTGACCTGGGTTTAGTCGGGCCAACCAGATCTATGTATTTTATTGATGTCATCCTCTTATAGTAAAGAAATCTTTTCCTATCTTTTCCTCTCTTTCCCTACCTTTTCCTTCAAATTCAGTATTAGTATTGGAGAAGTTGAGTACATGAGATAATCCTGAAAGCAGAGAGAGAGAGACGGTCTTAAGCTAAGCTTCATGTGACATGGTTATGTGGCAGTGGCAGTGTCTTCTCCAAGTTATCCATAGATTAACCTTCTTGGGTTGGTGGCTCAATAAGTCCAAATATAATAAAGCCACTTTTAAATGAATCTTAAGCTTCACGTGACATGAGTTACGTGGCAATGTTTTGCCACTTTTGAACGAATCTTAATCCTCACGTGACATGGGTTACGTGGCAATGTTTTCCACTGGCTGATGGAGTGATGGTAAACTGGAACAAGGCGGAGAGAGGTTGTTACCCAAAAAAACGAGAAAAGTAAGAAGCTTAACATTGGATGGGGTTGGAATTTTATAATGGACATTGGAGGTTTAGTTGGTTTTCCTAATTCCTTGGTTAGGTTCTGTTTGGTTGCCACGAAAGTATAATAAAGTGAAAAGAAATTATTTAAATAAAAAAGAATAAGGAAAAGAAAGACATAGGTTACTGTTTTCCTAAATGTCTCATTGGCAGGAGAGTGATGCAGCTCATTTAGAATTCTTGGTGCAACTAAAGTTTGCTTAACCCCTCATTTCTTTTTTTTCATAAGAAAGAGAACAAACTCAAGAATCATGCTGCCTTACAGGTTCTCCAAGCTAACAAATTTCACCACTCCTGACGCCACCAAGTCAAGTATAGATTAGGGGTGTTCATTCTTAGCCCGGCTGGAATCCGGGCCAAGCCCAGCCTGAAATTTCTGGGCCTCAGTTCAAGGTTTTTGCGTGGATTATGTCTAGAGTAGGGGTGGCCATGAGCTGAGCTCTTTACGAGCTATTCGAGCTCGAGCCTAATAGAGATCGATTCGTGAGGCTTGCGAGCCGAGCTCGAATAGATATATAATAATAATAATAATAATAATAATAATAATAATAATAATAATAATAATAATAATAATAATAATAATAATAATAATAAGAAGAAGAATAAGAATAATATTATTATTATTATTCTTAATTTTTTAAATATCAAATAAAAATGTTTTTTATATATAATTTTTTATTTTTATAAAACATTTTTCTCAAATCGAGCTCGAGCCAAACCGAGCTTGAGCTTACGAGTTTTTGACTCGAGTCGAGCTCAAACTTGAGCCTTGTACTACCTTGGCAAACTGAGCTCGAACTTGAACCTTGTACTACCTTGACGAACTGAGCTCAAGCCTCATACTATTTGGCTCGGCTAGGCAACCTAGCCTAAGCCACGATCCCGCCTAACTAGTAGAGCAAGAATTTGTTTAGACATTACAACCACACTAAAAGAACAGGGCCAAAGTATCCCATCTTCCCCATACTTTTTTATCTTTAAGGCTATGTTTGGTTTGAAGAAAAAAATAGGAAAACGAAAGAAAATATAGAGAAACCATTACAAACCTTGTATAGATTTTCCTATGTTTTCCTTCCTTTCCCTATCTCTTCCTTCAAAGAAAACATAGCTTAAACCTTTGGGAGCTGTCATGCTTCAACATCCAAACTTGAGGCTCCAATTTAATGAGGCTCATAATTAATTACTGGAAATGCCCATTATTAATTAAACCTGGCACACTCTATTCTCAAATCTAATGAGGCTCCAATTTACTCTATTTTCAATTCTAGCTGCATTGTTTTTTCTACGTTTCTACTTAAACCAGTTTTTATCCCCACCTTATCAGTTCAATATTTGTTTCTTTCTGAATTTAGTTTAAAGTTAATGAATTTTATTCTTTTTTTTTTTAATTTTATGCCTGTAACTCTTGTAAGAGCTTAAGGTTGCGTTTGTCTGCACTGCAAATTTGAACTGGGTACAAATTATGCACTCCATCAGTTTTACATCTATTTGCATGCAATTATGACTTGCACTCTAGTATGATAAAAAATGTGTACCTTTTGTCTCATTTGCATTTATAGGCAGTGCAAATTTTGCATTGTAAATACTGAAGCAAAATTTGCACCACCTTTCCCCTACCCCAAATCTCTCTCGTACATATAAAGTGGGGACTTCATCATCTTACTTTCTATCTTACTCTCAAACAAATAACCCTCCTTGTTCCTCCATTCTCTTTCATATAAGGTGGGGATTATATCATTTTATTTCTCACAACAAATAAGACAATCAAATTTGAAGCAAAAGTAAACCAGAATTTACACTCAGCTCGTTTGCATGCTCATGCATTTATACCAATGCAAAGGAAACTTGCACTGAAAACAAATTGAGCCTAAGGCTTAGTTTGGAAGGAGTACAAATACAAATATGTAGAATGCAAAACCTTGTCATTTGTATTATTTTGTATGTAAATAGTAAGGACATTTACAAGAAATTCAATCTCAGAAATGAAATCCTTAATACATTAATCCACTGACAACAAACCCAGTTACACCACACTACCTTGAAAGAAATTGGCCATTACAATTCTGTAATCATGTATCAGATGAGGAAACATAAAAAGAAAATTCGACAAATGTACACCAATGAAAATGAATTTTTCATGCACATGCATTTACACCAACGCAAATGAAAATTTCACTGCAAACAAACTGAGCCAAAACAGAAAATGCTATAGAACAAGTAAAGAATAATATTTTTTTCATTGGAAAATTTGAAAATAAATGCTATGGACATTTACAAGAAATTCAATCTGATAGTGAAATCCTTAGTGTACAAATAATCCACTCACAACAAACCCAGTCACACCACACCATCTTCCAAGAACTTGGCGATTGCAATCCTGTAATCATGTATCAAGTGAGGAAATTAAGAAAAAGAAAATCCAACAAATACACACGCCACAGGCTCCATCCAGTGCAGATCAACCCTCAAGTTCACCATGTCCTTCTTGAGATAGTTGAGGCTCTGTTAATGGCGAGGATGTATACAAATTGTGTAGCTGAAAGAATAATTAAGAATGCTTCCATTGTTTTCTGCAACACCCATCAGTGCCCATATGTTATGCTTCCATCCAGAGAGGAGGGGAAAAAAAAAAAGAAATCATGACTTATATAGTTGAGCAATCAAGAAAGCTCTTCACTTACCAGTCTCGAATTCCTTAAGCCTCTCTCCATCTCTTTGAAGGCCAGACTATGCATAGAAAAAAGTAAATTAAATTCTATCAACAGAACTAAATCTCTTAGAAATGGTGAAACCAAAGAAAAAAGAAAAAACACATAAATTATGATTAAAAGAAGCCTACCCCATGGCCAGGAGAGTAAGAGTCCAAGCAACAATGGCAACTGATGATGCAGACGGTAAGCTGTCAGCATCCCATAGTTGAATATGGCGGTATCCAGCCATTGCCGATGCAGAACCAACAACACCAGCAACCACAGCAAACAACACAGAGAATCCAGTGGCAGCATTTCCCATTGAGAAGTAAATAGGAGAAAAGTGAGCTGGAAGCCGAAGTTCAGGGCCTGAAAGAGTTTTACAGATGATCAGTATGCTACAACTAAAGCAAATGGATTGCTGCTTCGGATTAAATGGACTACGAATCACTGGCCATTTTCCAAGCTCGAGCAGAGACATCACAGATTGAAAACCAGGTCCCACCCAGTTGACTGGATTGATGCTGCTAGCTACTATTAACCAGTATTAATGGCAGGATGTTTTACCTATGATGAAGCCGTGATCAATTGCATGGTTGATGGCCCATCCTCCTATTGCTGCCACGATTACGTACATGCAGAAGTTGAGCAACAAGAGTCCAGTTGCAAGGGGTTTCAACTGCCCACCAGCCATTGCAGCACTCCAACAGAACTCAGAAGATGTTCAAAGAGGAAGAAACTATGGAGTGTAAGAAATTTAACAGAGCTAGAATGAGGCAGAGAGAAGCTTGAGGTATGGAGTTTTATAAATTGTAGGAACAATGTTTTGGTTCCTTCCTTGCAAAGCTGACAATGAATTCAAGAGGGTTGCGGATGAGGCTGTAAAGCTGGGAAACCTTAAAATTGAAGGCAAGGAGCAGAAACAGAGATACTTACTTGTTTCATATTCCTTCTCCTAACCAGGAAAAAAGCGCAATATTTCATAAATTGAACTTTACAGTTAGGAACTTTATGGGTATAAAAAACAGATCCAATTGTAAAATCAATGGGCCTTCAACTAATGTGCTGGACTTGCTGAAAATCATCGTGTTCGTATCTGATGATGTTGGGCTTGGGTTATATTATATCCAGTCTTCCCTAGGTTTACGGCAGGGGTGATAGTTTCAGGCTTTCAGCCCAGCCCGGACAAGTCCGGCACGGTTGTTCCAGGCTTGGGCCAAGATTTTGTGTTGAAATTGGGCCCGTGCCTGCATTAGGTCCGCAAATTTCAGGGCCAGGCCTAGGCCTAATACTTCGAGCCTGGCCTGGCCAGTATATATTTAAATGTGTATGAAATACATAATGTATATATATGCAAATATGAAATATATTAAATTTGCACATGTGAAAAAGAAACATGTTAATGGACATATGTCCAAAATTTATGATGTGGGTAGGGACGTAGGTAGAAAGATGTGGGCTGGAGATCCAGACTCTTTGGGAAGGTCCTGAATTTAAAGATTTATATTTTGGGAATCACTACTATCAGCGTTGCCTAAGCTAATTGATGGTGCGCGATCCGGCCGGTCTTAGCTATCAACGACCTTGCCTCTGAACTGAGCAGCAGGGAACCTGAAACGGAGAAGATGAGGAAGCTCCGGGAGGAACCCGGTGTAAAGGCTCCGAAGCACGAGTTAGAATCCTTCAAAGGCGAGATAAAACCAGATAACGCAAAGTTTGCATACCATGTTCTTGGGGGGTAGAGAGCCTTTTATAACCACCTCGCGCACTCACTCCTAGGCTTCTGTCAGGTCGGGTATGATTACTTTCGTGCTTTTGCCAGTTCGGGTGTCATCACCTCTGCTGGGGCAGAACCGCCACTGCTCCTTTTGTCGGAGACGTCTCTGTAACTGGAGATGGCGGTGGCAGGTGACGGTGGCAGGTGGCCATTGAAGTGCGGCTGTCAAGCGTCAGATCCCAAGTCCGTCAAGTGCGCCGCCCCCGGATACGGACTCCTTCGGTGTCAGGTACGGTGTTCTGGAGGCGAAGTCTTGAGCTCGGATAGGAGAGTGTCCCGAACTGCCATGAGGCGGACCAGTTCGAGTCACTGCTTTCTGTGTCTCGGGGTTAAAGGGAGAGTTCGGGCTCCTCGACGGGAGTTCGGTCTCCTCGAGGGGAGTTCGGACTGCTGGTTTCTTCCCTTTGGTGTTTGCACCATGGGTACGTTGCTTTAAGCGTCGAGCTACTTGTTTTTTGCCACGTGGCGTGATTGCGAGGTCAGGCCAAATCTTCCTTCATCAATTGCCCCCCACTCCTTGCGCTAAGGGTCTTGCCCTGGCGCGGGGAGTTCGTGAGGTGTCAGGTAGATTTGCCCTGACCTTTGGATCTTGGTTCTGATGGCGCGAGGTGCGTTGTTAGAGTTCCTTGGGTTTCTTCGAGCATCCAAAAGGCGGGAAGCGTGCAGGCCTACCTAGGCGCTGATAGATGTGACGGTGCACACTTTATTTCAAAATTTCAAAAAGCACGCCACTTGGGAGGCGCGATAGCAGGCGTCTTTTCAAATTTGAAAAAGCGCGTCGCTGCCGCTTTTATTGAGGAGACGTGTACTGGCGTTCCATCAGTTTCGAAAAGACGTGCGCCAATCACGTCTCGGTCTCAGGGGACGTGCGGTCGGTGCAGCTGTGGGCCGTCGGATTGGCTTTGATCTAAGCCATTGCTTTTCGATCACTGTGAGTATAAATAGCGGGGGGACCCCAGTCGCTGTCACTTCTGTGTTTCTCTTGAGGTCGCATCCGAGTTTCAGCTCACATCCAGGTTTTTTCAGCTCGCATTCAAGGTCTTCTGCTCGTCCGAGCTTCTGTGGTCTACAGCCTTTTTCCGGGTGAGTACTTTCTTGGATCCCATCT